GGCCCATAAGCCACATGGGCATCCACTATTTCATAACAATTGTTATTGTTGGAGTTCTTGCTTTTAATATAAAATAAATAATATAAGTATAACTATAAATAACATATAGAACATATACTAAATTCAGTGTTGGTGGGAGGGGGATATGATAGTAATTTAATATTCAAGTTAGGGGGTGTCCAAATTCCACTAAACTTCGAACTCATTCAACGACTACAAATCGCACCTGAGTTGTTTAAAGAAGAAGAATAAAAAATTTAGAAAGTTCATAGTTATCAAAGGGTAGTATGAACATGTGTTTATTGTGCCTTATAAAAAAGTCACAACCTTTTAGAAAAATCAAAGGGTGTATGACCAGGTGCTTATTGTATCTTATCAGAAAAGTCACAACCATTTAGAAAAGTCACAACCCTTCAAAAAGGTCACAACTCATTGAAAAAATAACAACCTTTCAATGTAAAAAGTTGTTTGATTTTAATCTAATATAATATAAATGTATTATATATACTAAATAGGGTTTTTTAAGTTGGGATATTATAATAATTTAGCATTGAAGTTAGGGAGTTCATGCTTTTAAGGCAGTATAGATAGATATATTGATTGTATTTTCAACACGCTCCTAACATGCGGGTCTAATTTTTTTATTGTGCCAAGCACGTGAATATTCTTTTTTGATACGGGTGCTGGTGAGATTTAATCTCAAGACCGCTGCCAACTCTGATACTATGTGAAGTGTGTGACCATCTCATCTAAAAACTTAAGTTGTTAGATAGAGCACACTTTTATTAGTTAATTGTATTCTCAACAAGAAGAAGTTTGTGTGATATTGGTTGATAATGACAAGGAGTTAATTACAAAGATGGTTCATTTGCTAAAGTCTTATGACTATAAAGAGGACATTTCTACAAATTATATGTAGAGCTTGTAATCTTTTGTTTTTTGATATAACTAAATTCTATATGATTTTTTTAATAAGAGATTAACCGATATGATGTTTGTTATCTCATTTGTTATTTTAACATTCATTCTTCTAAAAAAAATATTTATATATCTTGTAAATTTTGAATTTCTCTTTTTCCTTGTTGTCATAACACTATTTTTATGCTTGTATTTGTTGTTTTACTAACTAATAAATGAGTTTTGTGCGGTTTAAAGAATCAAATTAGATTCTCCATTTTTGCCTCTTGCTATAAGATTGTCACATACTCAATTAATTTCCACATAAAGATGTATATGATTTTTCAAAAGGTATTAATAATTTTATGTCAATATTTGTGTTGTTGAAGTCTTATCGGATGCGTAACGACCTGTTCCGCCGTTATTCAAAGGGAACCCGTGTGGAACCCTGAAACTTTTTGAATCACGTTGTCAATTTAAATTGGGGTGATAGGATGAAAAAATTCATAATTTTAATTTGATTGGGGTTGACACCAGTCCGCCATAGCGGAAATCCTCCCGCTATGGGCATGCAATCGCTATAGCGAGGCTGAAGTAATTAGACCCTAGACAAATATAAATTTTTTTTATTTTCCTCCCACTTTTCATTAGAAAAATAGACGAAGATTACTCAAGAAAATCCTCACAAGCTGCTCCAATTTTGGGAACAATAGAGGGAAGTGATTTCAGCGCAAGGAGAATCAAAACCCATGAAATTCCGGCCCACATTTGGGAGTTTTCTTATTACCTCTGTAGAAATTCTTCTATTCTACCACTATTTGCTTCCTTACATTCAGCTTGATCCCCCTAACAACGCATGCCACATCTAGAGTCTGAGGATAAATCACATCAGTAAAGTTGCCTAATGAAAAAATCTTTCAACCTTCTAACACCAGCCACCTCATAGCATCTGCAGAGAGATAAGCATTAGTAAGACCATTAGTAGTGGGCCAGTAGACCTTATTCCTGAATTCCTCGTTCATATCCATTTCCTTCAGCTTGGCCTCATAAGTATCGTTTGAGACCTCTGATCCAATAACTAGTTTATATATGTGTGTGTGTGCGCCGGCGTGGCAATTGATCCAATAATAATACATATATGTGTCGTGACACATGATCCAATAATAATACATATATGAGTCGGTGTGACATCCGATCCAATAATAATATATATGTGTGTGTCGGTGTGACGCCCACTCCAATAAATATAGATACAGGTGCCAACATGACATCCTAAACCACAATGAATCACAATCACACATGTATATTCATGTAATCTATTCATTTCATGCTATTGACAACATCTTCGTGTCACATTATATCTTTCCAATTTCTCCAATCATATATCAATGCATGCATGACTAGCCATGCAATTAACAAGCACTATAACATAAACGGAAAACAACAACCATCCAATCATCACCTACCGAGGAAACTTCTTCCTAAATATTTCATGATCACAATAAGATTACCCATAATTACCTTCCCCAAGATAACACCCAATAAATATTATAATGCCAACAATAACTAATCAAGTCCACCATCAACCTAATCAGGACTAACCATACATTCAACTATCTAGACTATGTGTCCGAAGGTTTATGCACGAAATCTTTTGAAAATCTACAAGATATTACATATATAAATACGGATCTAACTACTTAGTTAAGAGAACCTATAGCATATTTGGGCGCCAAGCAACTGCTGAAGGACTATGGATGCAACTTATGACTCCTTGGGGGAGAATCTTGATGAATGTTGATCGGAAATCATAGGGTCTTACCCATCCTTGCACGAAAATCCCTCACCTCCACTCTCGAGCTTAAATTGGCTTAAGGGAGGTTTCAATGTAACCTTGTCTATTTTATCAAAGAAAAGTGGAAAGAAAAATAAAAGCCATCGAGTTTTCTACGGGTGATTTCGTCAATCCTACTTTATAGTGGTCATACAAGCGCAATAGCAGCGTCGCCACAGTGGGAGGCTTCCCCTTCGGCTATGGCGAACTAACGTCAGCCTGAATCAATTCAATTATACTAATTTTATTATGTGCCCCAATTTATAATTTGGCATCAAATTTCAAGAATTTTTTGAGACTCCACACGAGGTGTATTTAAATAACGACAGACTGAATTGTTACACATGTATATAAGTGATGGAGACATCAAGAAATAGATCTCTGCCCCAGAGAACCTTAATATCATGTCATAAACCCTACTACTCTATAAATTAAGTGGTTTTTTCTTAGTAATTATTTGTCTTTTTTATGATGTATTTTTTTTTTTTTTTGTGATAGCTTAGCATTACATAATAGTTGGACTCGGCTCCCTTCCAAAGACAACCATATAATAGCTATCAATGTAGATAGTTAACATTGTTTTTTTCCTTTTGAGAAATAAGAGGTTTGCTCTTATTTGAATTTGCAAATATTATTTTGATATCAACTAAAAAAGTTGTTTTCTCTCTCACACACAATAATTCAAAAGAAATAAGAGAGAAGTATATTATAAGTCTTTCAATTAATTAGTGAGTTTCAAATTTGATCCTCATAATACTTGATTAATTATATTTAATTTTTAATTATTTAAATTATATATATTTAATAATTATTTACTATTAAATCATTTTTTAGTTATTATCAACATATACTTTTTATTCGTAGAAGGGACAAAATTTTCACGTTAATTATTTGAAGTTAAATATATTTGATGAAGTATTTTAAGAATGAAAATAGAAGTCCATTCAATAATTGATGAATCAAAAGTAAAAATTATCTACAAATAAATGAAAAAATGGAGTTTTTAAAGCTTATACGAGTAATTGGATATCTAAAATTCTATAGTTCAATTTCTCACACAAACTCAATTGAAACGGAGTTTAATGCTTCGTTACATAATTTATGTATCACAAAAAGGATGGAATTTTCATGCTTTTCATATTAACATAGACGTTAAGATTATTATTATATTAGCGCATCAAAACAATTCTTTATATGTTAATCTCACTAACAATTACAAGTACTTCTTTAACAATTTGACCAAACCATCTATCAATTATGTATATAGGGAGCAAAACAAAGTAGCATATAGACTTTGCTAAGGAGGGGCTAATCTCAAATTCATCGACACTTGTAATTTTAAAGCAATCTTCTTCTTTTTTTGTCAACACTCTATTGATCAAATATGATTAGACCAAGGAATATCAAACCATAAAATATTTTCACTATCACCCTTTTTGTAACGATTCACTTATGAGTCTCCCTAATTTAGATAATATATTGTTATTATCTAGAAGTCGTTTAAGATGAGGTATAGTATATAATAATCTTAAGATAAAATGTAGAATTATTTTATCTGATCGATCAAATTTCAAAGCTTACGTGAGTTAATCCGAATGGGGTGGATCAATCCATATGGACAACTATAGCCCTTGAAAGAAAAAAGAAAAAAGAAAAAAAAAGAGGAATGGGGAAAAAGCAGATTTGGCAAAGGCAAAATACTCCTTTTGAAGTCCTAACCAGTAGTAACCATCTGTAAGGTAAAGAAGAGGCAAAAGGGTTTCTCTATTTCAGGTCTGTTTCTTCTTCTCCTTCCCTTTTCACTCTATTTTTCTCTTCTGTAAACTGATTCTTCCTATTTTGTTTTCATTTCTCTGTTGAACTTTTGTTTCTGCTATTCTTTATTCTTTAGCTGATGAGTATATGTTGCCTTGTAGGCTTGTTGGTGGATATGCCTCATCCACTATTTATCTGTTAATGGTAAAAGGGGTTTTAGTGTTTGTTTGCTACTATAGGCTATGAAGATGAGTGTGTTGGAATTTGGAATCTGAAATTTGTTGGTTTGCTCTTTACTTGATCGTTAACTTCCATTTTCAACTGGAAAATCAAGTTTCTTTCTGCAGTTTGATCTCTTGTTTGATTGAAATTTTGGGCCTTTTGTGGGTGTGGCAGAAGAAAAAGGGCAAAAAATATTCTGGGTTTTTCTATACTTTGCTTAAATTTTGGGTTTCAATGGATTTTGATGGGAAGAATTGATTGTTGAGGTATTTGGTTAGTTTTGGGTGTTGTGTTGTTAAGGGGAAATATGGAAGAAGATAAGGCAGCTTTTGTTGGGAATAGCATTAGTGAAGAAAAGACTGTGTTTTCAGAAATGGAAGTGGAAACTGCTGACATGGAAATATCTGATCGGAACGATGAGAATGTAGTTTTGCCGTCTGAGAAAGGTGAGGGAAGTAATGGAAATGTTGTATTTTCAAGAGAAGCTCCACTTGTACATAAGGACTTCAGATCATCTGTCGTTGCAGGGGGTTGTAGTTGTGGAGTTAATAAGATTAAATCAGGGATAGCTAACTCTGACTTGGAACTCGGGAAAAGTGAGAAATCAGGTCTTGAAAAGAAGCTTAGCAGACAAAATAGGATTGAGTTGGGGCGCTTGTTCCAGGGTGCTGTGAGTGACCATGATTGGGAGTTGGCTGAGAGTTTGATCCTACTGGCTGATCCCCAGACACTGAATGATGCGCTATGCATTGGTTTGGATTCAATCTGGTTCTTAAGTAATCAAGATGAGTTGTACGGGATAACAGGTTTGATTAAAAAGATCATCGCTAATGGTGCATACGACTTCACTCGGGCTGCACTAAGGACTTCATTTCTTGCTTCGTGTGTTTCTGCTTGCCAGAGTCGAACAATGGGCCTTGCAGATACTGTCACTGTAATGGCACAAAGGTCAGTGCTTTTGCCTTTCCTTGCATCATCTTGAACTTCGTCCTTGAATGCTTAAATGATGGTAGAGAAGGCCTTCGTTTTTCTGTTGAATGTTCTCCCAATCTCTGAAGTATACATGTCTAGTCAAATTAGTAGGATTCCTGTGAAATGCAGCATGCTGATATGAAATCCAAGTCCTTTCACCCGGAACCACAATTTTTTATTCCCAGATATTGCTCAGTTGATGCTATGTGTACAAAGTTGTGAAATAGTTTTTCTTTTATTTCTCCAGTACTAGTATATGTAAGCTCAACCAAAGCATTTGTCTCAGCTTCCAACCATAGGCAGATCCAGGATTTAGAGGTTCCGGGTGCCACATTATTTTGAACATTCACATATTACTATTTACATAGCTGAAATGGGTTACGCATTGGGTTGGTTTGATCTAATTTTGATTAAGTTCAGATTATTCGGGTTTTTTTTCAGTTTATATTAGATAAACTAATCCAATGGGGAGAAGTTGGGACTTTGCCAATGGCACCTAATGCATATTTTGTAATCTAGATGCCACTGAATGTATTTGTATGTTTTTATCTATATGTAATTATGTATACATACTTATACAAAGTTCCGGCTGAGGTTTGCTGGTGGCGAGGCACCCCCTCCCTCCTTCATAGGTCCGCCCCTGCTTCCAACAACCTGTGGGTTTGAGTTATTTAATCTTTATGCTGAAAATTCTCTTTAGACCTTTTGCTAAAGTGTAAGCATGAAGAACCTGCATTTGCTTGTTATTGAAATTAACAAACGAGCTTGCTACATTAGTTGGTTTGTTGCTATTACCCATCGTATGGGCTATTATCTAAAAGGATACATAGATGGCATATTATTTGAAAAGTTTATTCTTCATATATAAGAATATCCTTGGTGATAATTTACAAGGTCAAGTTACAATTTTTTTTTCCTTTTAACAATGGTGGTGCCTCCCATCCACCCAGATACTGGGAGATCTGGAGGCTTAGGTACATGAGAAGTAATCACCTAGTATTGTTTGTCTCTGCTGGAATTTGAACTCTGGTGTCCAGTTACAACTTTTCTCTTTCCATTTCCCTTGATGTCTGGTATTTAAGATGTTTGTGGCACTAAAGTTTTTGCTGGGTATGAACCACCACTCTCAGCAGGTTGCATGAACGACTACAAGAATGCAGCGGAGATGAAGTCTTGAAGGCTGAAGCTGGTGCTAAGGTTCAGAAGTTCACTGAATGGGCTCTTAAATGTATAGGTTTCCATTCCCGCTGCCAAGGAAAGAGAGATACGGTTGGGCATAACTCTGCTGTTGAAATACAATTGCAGTTATCAGCTTTCAAAACTTTCCTGGATCTTGCTGGGAACCACCTTACTGGGAAGGCCTTTACAGAAGCATTTGATGCAGCTTGCTTTCCGCTCACACTATTCTCTAGTTCATTTGATACTTGCTGGGCATCAGGAATTTCAGCTACTGCAATCCAAGGATTGCTCGGCATGTTGGTGGATGGGGGTGCAGACAATGTCAATCAGTGCTTTCTTGAAGCATCGCGTTTTGGGAGCACAGAGCTGGTCCGCATTCTTTTGCAGGTATATTGATGGATATTTTGGAGTTTAATGTTTTCACTTTTACGTTTCGAAGCACGCATCTACCCCCTTTTCAGATTTGTACTTTCTAAATGTTCTTCTTGGTGACTGCCTTTGTAAATTTTATATTGGTATTTCACCTGTCATGGATGTTCTATTTGCTTCTTCTTTTTCTGTCTTTCTCTCACCCTTAGTTTTTGGGTTAGGCTTATAAAGCACTGTTAGTGTTTTCTACATGTTCCAATTTCACTTTGATAAGTAGATAAAAAAGTAAATAAATAAAAGAAAACACAGATATACCTTTAAATAATAAACAAAATCTCAACAAGAAATTGCTTATGAAGGATCTTGTTTTACTTCCCCTCAGTGCAGTTAGATGCCCGAGACTGTGTAGCTCGCTGGAATACTTAGTTAGGTTGAAACTACTTTAGGTCGTGCCACTTATTTGTAAAGCAAAAAAAAAGAGGCTTTTGGTAAACAATTGGATAGCAAAGGGAACTCAATAAACAACAAGGATCCGACTATAAAGAAAAATACAAGCAACAATGAAAACGAAGTAAAACATACAACCAAGAAAAGGAATCCAACATCAAGTGTTCTAACAATATGGGCACCACCAGATAACCAACACAAAGAAACAGAAGGAGAAAAAGAGAGTGCTGACCACAAGGCTCCTCAAGGATACCAGGGAGGACTAGTACAAGATCTTGGAACGAACAATAGAGAAAATAACAGCTCACAAAAGGAGGATAAGGTAGAAACGCAAAACGATGCGAGTACTCAAGAACCGAACCCATTGCAGATTATTATCCCAGACACATCTCTTAGTGAGGCACCAGAATAGAGGACATGCCAATTGAGAAGAAACAACATAGAAGAGATACTAGGGGAAGATGAACACATGGAAGAGAACATAGATCATATAAGCAAAGAAGGAGACCTCTCACCCAGGCAGATTGACAACCTAAGAGTGGAACCAAAAGAGGAAAAACAAGCAATCGATCCCTTCCTTTGGAGGTTAAAACAAGGAGGAATAAAGATAAACCACCCCAGATTGATTAAATGATTGACACCTTACTTTCATAGAACATATGATCTGCTAATTCTTAGAATTCCTTTGAGAGATTAATGGAACTTAACAGAAGACATCACTACCCTTACATAGCTCTTACGGAACCTTCCAAGGACCACATGAGTTAGAACAATACAAAAGGAGACTGGGAATACAGAATGTATTGCAAACTGTTCCTCAAAGATTTGGATTTTCTGGAATGGTGAATGGGAAGGTCAAGTGCTTACTGACATTATTCAACAACTCACTTTGAAATTCAGATGCAAGGCTGGTAATCAAGAAATTATGATCTCAGCTCTATATACTAGGTGCAATGCTCTAGAAAGACTGGAACTGTGGGAGGACTTGAACACGTTTCTTATGCAAATCAGATTCCCTGAATAATTGGAGGAGATTTCAATGTTATCCTACGTGATGAAGAGAAGTTGGGAGGTCTCCCTTTCACACATCATGAAGCAACACATTTTCCTCAATGCATCAATAATTGTGCTATCTCTGAATTTAAATTCACAGGGAGTAAATACACATGGTGGAATGGCAGAATACAAAATGAATGCATCTTCAAAAGATTAGACAGAGTTTTTGGTAATCAGAAGTTCATGGAGGTTTTTCCGGTCAATGAGGTTCAACATATGGTAAGACGAGGATTAGACCATGCTCCTCTACATGTGATATGCAATGCATTACAAGAACCAGTCATCAAGCCCTTCAAATTTCTCAATAGCTGGACCAAGCACAATCATTTCAGAAGCATACTGAAAGACAATGGGAGGAATGACTTTGTTGGTAATCCTTTCACTGAGTTTCAGGCCAAATTGAAAAGGGTGAAAGGAGCCCTCGCATGATACAGTGAAGAGAGTTTTGGCAATGTTTTTCAGCAAATAGCCACTCTAGAAGATGTAATAAATGTTAAAGAGATTCAGTTATATCCTACAGAGGCTAGCAGGGATGCTCTTAACAGAACTGAAAAGATATTTGCACTTAGAGGAGTACAGGTTTGTAGATGGGAACAGGAATACCAAATTCTTTCATTCCTATGTGAAAGGTAGGAAGAAAAAGCTTCACATCTAAGAGAATCAGACAAGCGAAGGAGACGAGAGAAGAAGGATGCGAGACACTCACACGTAACAGATCAATTGCATTCCACCCCTGCTAGGAAAACACGGATCTATTGGTAAACCCACACATCATACAAGAGAAGAAGGATGCGAGACTCTCACACGTAACAGATCAACTGATACCCATTATGGCAACCCTCCGTAGACTCCTGGGTATACACAACAATCTCATCCACTGGATTACACATCTGGACGGGCAAAACAGAGAGCAGAAGTTAACTTCAAACCAGGACCACAAAAACGAAGGGAAAAAAAGAAGAGAAAGGTAAATTTCTCACTTCTGCAAGCTGAAAACTAGCAGCAAACACCAAAGAGGACCACACGTGTTGATCACGCAGAGATTTAGGAGAACCAAACCACTGCTGTGGAACCTCTTCATGTTCATTATCTTCAGAGCTCAGTGGAAGCGGCAGTGGAAAACAATGAGTTTCCTTTTGGAAATTCTTCCAATATAGATATAGAAATAGAGGTGAATTGGACTAGTGGGTCCATTTTGTTTTGTTTCCTACTTTCTGTCGTTACTTCCTTTCTGGACCCATTTGGGCTCGGATTTTTTGTGCATGTTTTCTAATTGTCAATAAAATCGAGCTCGCGGCTCAAATTGCTTTAAAAAGAAGTCTGGCATTCTCATCTTTGGTTGTTTTGGTTCTCTTGTAGATTGCTCAAAGGAACAGCTTGGATGTTGATGTTGAACTGGCTTTGGGATTTGCTTCCCATTACAGTAAAATTGGAACCATGGAATGTTTAGTGGAAGAGGGGAATGCAATGTCTTTCTTGGGCCCTCTGATGAGAGCTGCTGAGAGAGGATGCATGCAGGTTGTTGAGTGGTTTGTCAAAAGGGGATGCAGGGACATGGAACTATGCCTGGCCCTTACAGCTGCGACCTCCAGTAGTCAGGTTGAAGTTGCTGCGTATCTCCTTCCTCACGTTCCTAAGCATGTTCTTGCTGCCCTCAGCATCGAGATTCTTAAGGCTGCTGGTGAGAGAAGCAGTGGGTCTCTTGATGGGGTAGCATTTCTTCTGCATTCAGACTTCCTCGGTGATCCTGTTGCCACTTATGCTGTTGCCGACAGTATAGCTAAGTCTGATGATGATGCTGTTGCTCCTGGTCTGAGGAGTTTCCTTCGGGAACATTGGTCGGAAGCTGCCTTCTCAGATGGACTGCGGCAAGGAAAAGAACACTACTTAAACTTTGTGCGTATTGTAAACTGTGGTGAATCTCCTATCTGTTTGAAGGATCTTCCTGGGCCCTTGAGGGTAGCAATAGCATACCTGCCACTGTATAGAGAAAGTGTCAAGGCAGGGGGGTGTTGCTTGTTATCTCAAAGACTTAGAGGACAGCTTGTGGAAGCAGCCAAAAGGCTTGGTGGTGTAGTACTGGAAGAGGCAAACCAAGGAAAAGAATTAGTGGCTGTCTTGGAGCATCATCTTCCTCCATTTTTGCTAAATGCATCAAGTGCTGCTTATTAGAAGCTCTGAAATTTTCACCCCCCCCCCTATCTCCCTTCACAAGTATAATAACACATAGTTGGGTTGAAAGTGAGGAAGAAACCTCCAAGGTTGATCAATTTTCTTACTGAACAAGTAGGTCGGCTTATAGTTACATGTCTGCGCGGAGTCTGGAAAGATGCATACTTAAATGTGTTGATTTTATGTAACTACATTCAGAAGGGCTAGTAACTTAAATGTTCATTGTATATTGGTTGGTGCCCTGCTGTTTTTTTTTCATCTTGTCCTTGGTGATCTTGTTTGAAGAGTCGATTACATGGACATGGATGTAGAAAAGGAATTCATCAAACAGTAGACATTTAGTTACAAATGTGTTTTTACTTGAATAAGATGAAAAATAAAAGGTTACTTGAGAGCTCTCATAATGTGTGGGATTTGGAGAAGTGAATTATGTTGAAAGTATTGTTTACAGTTTTATATTGAAAAATTGTGCATAAAACAAATACATAAAATACTTAGAGGTGATGAGACAATTGATCCAAGGAACCAGTCCAATTGGTTAGGTGCATAAATGGTGCAGTATTAGCTAAGAGTCTGTATGACAATGTTGTTAGGAGGCTTGAAATTTTATTTTTACACTTTTGTTAAAAAATTACATGGTTGACAAATCAGTAAAAATGTTTTTAAATAGAAGTAGAAGTAGTTTTTCTTGTTGTTGGAAGAAGCTAAAAAAATTTGCCTCTTAAAAAAAAAGTAGAAGCAGAAACAAATTATTTTTTTCTCAAGACTAAAACATTCCTTTCATATATACATATTTACCAATATATTTATTTTATATTTTTATATAATGAATTTATATTTTATTTTATGTTTATATTTATATTTTATTATTTTATATATTACATATTATTTTAAGTATAATTTTACAGAACTAAGAAAAAAGATAATAACAATATTTTTATAAGGTTAGAAAAAAAATAACAATTAAGGATTTCAACCCTCTAAAAAAGGTATATTATTGATAGAAAATTTAAATATGTACATTTCAATTTAATAAAAATAAAAGTTTAATTGATTTGTTTATAATAGATATTTAAAATAGTTTCTCCCTATAAAATAATTTTAATATTAAAAGTACATTAATAGTTGTCATTTTTCGTAATTTGACTCTCAAAAACACTTTTTAAAAAAGATTAGTCAAACACAATTTGCTTATGAAAAACATTTTTCAAATAAATAAACCAAACACAATTGCTTTCTTTCAAAAACACTTTTCTAAAAGCCATTTTTAAAAATTGTTTTTATAAATAAAGTCGTTTTTAACCCCCAAAGTGGTTGAGCTAGAGTTGCATAAATGGTGCAACATTGCTAACGCTTTCTTTTCTCATAAGAAAATGTATCTTGCTCTTGGCAAAAATTAATAAATGAGTTTGAATATTTGGTTTTTCCATGTCCCATATCCTCACAAAATTTGTAACTCAAATATGAATTAATTTATTTGACTAATGAATATAAATTATTCACTTAATTTTTTTATATTGGTCAAATATATATTTTTAAGGCTAATAACTCACAAGGATAAAATTAAAAAAATATTATAATTTATACATTGATTTTATGAAATGACAAATATTTATAGTAAAAATGGCATATAAAAAAGAAAGGAGGGAGCAAGTCTTTTTGGATTTTTTCTTGTCTTTAGAAAATAAAAAATGCATATATTAAAGACTCATATAATATTTGTAAATCGGAGAGTGCTCTGATAAAAAAAAAAATTGAGTCTTAAAGATAAATTGTATTAAATGGTGCAAGTTAAAGCTAGTAACATCTCATCAAATTATTATTTCTTATGGTTTACGATTTATTACAATTATCTTCGTTACTTTTATTTTTATTATAACAACATATTTATTGTTAATTTTTAAAAATTGCAATAAAATTAATTAAACTTCCACTCTTATGCTTAATTATTAACTTTTCATTAGAATAAACTTTTTTATTCCGGCTAATTTTACATTTTACATACTCCCTTGGTCCACAATTGTTTAGCAGGTATACTAAAAATAGATGCCAAGATTAATTGTCAATTTAAACAATCAAGAAATAATTAGTCACTTTTTTCCAATTCTGCCCTTAATGATTGTGTAGTTCAATTGAAAAATTATATGGACTTTTGATATTCTTGATATAGTAGGATTATATTAATCAAATTACACTTTTGTATTAAATTTTCATTGAGGGATGTGCATTACCTTACCTGACAAACAATTATGGACGGAGGGAGTATATAAAAAATAATCTAGAGTTAAGAACAAAAATACACTAGATCAATTACAATCAAGCATCCAGATTTGTCCTCAATTATAGAATTGGAGCCTCGACTAATCTCGAATTCTCAATGTCCATCTATCGCAAAGTAACTTTACATACTCAAAATTCAAACTCAAAACAACAGCTTAACATCAATGTTTATGTTGTTGATTTGCCTTTGTTACAAATATAGAGATCAAAATAAAAGAGAAAACACTAAATTTACTGTAATACACATTTAATTTCTCTGACATTACATTGCTCAAAAGTACTATGATAAAACAAGAGATGTAAATAAAGAAATCTAGATTTGCTTGTTAGGTAAACAAATAAGAAATCAAAGAAAGTAATTACCCCTAAATTATTTTATCATACATATTTATAAGAAACATTTTTGATATTAGAAGGCATAAAAGCCAAGAACAAAAGAAGTGATAGAATAAAAATGGGAAGTAATAGAAGCATAAATGGTGGTGGTGGTAATGGTGGAAGAATCAAAGGCAACAGCAACAATGATGCTGATAGACAAATTAGCAGAAGAAATGACTCCAAACTGAAATAACTAATTGAAAACACTTTTTTCCCATTTGCTGATCTTCTAGAATTATTCATCATATACTGATTGTTCATAAACACTTTTGTTGTTGTTGATGACGCTCTCAATTTAACTTCTGATCTTTCACTTACATCCATTTTTAGGGCTTTTTTTTCTTCTGAATCTCTCAATTGGGGATTGTTGAAGATATGGTTTGGGTTGATTTTTGGGGAGAAGAAAAAGAGAAGAATAGTTTTTGTATTGATTTAATTTAAAAAGTTAGTCTATGTTTATATATATGGTTAATTATGTTGAGAAAGTAATGGATTCAATGTATTTGGGTTATGAAGGTGGGGACAAGTTGATGTTTTTTAGAAAAACAAAATTAGGGGATGTCTCCCAAGGTTCTTCACCCCTGGCCCTTGCCCTGACTATGCCCATTCCACATTCTTCTTTTATTTTATTTTATTTTATTTATTTTTTCTCTCTCTCTCCCATCAAATACTCCCTTTCCTTTTGTGGGATATGTGTTTCGAATTTTGAGATTCAATTTTTTTTATGGGTATTCTAGATGAATCCCTTTTGTGTTTATTTAATTAGGGAAGGATAACTTTTTTTTTATTCATACTTTCCCGGTTTAATAATAGTTGTCTATTTTATGAAATTAATAGATAATTTTACACTTAATTCTTAATTTATTCTTATCATTTTTCTGTTACATTTTTTAAAGGCATTATATTTATTATATTTAGATGGTGATATAGTAAAATTAACCTTTCTTAAGAAGTGTATAAATTCAATAGTGGACAAGTATTGTTGGACATATGAAATAACTTTTTTTAAAATATTTTAAAATTATTAATTATTGTAATTTACTTATTTTTATTTTTATTTTTATGTAGTTTTCAAATATATATATATATGGAAAAAAAATCAATAAATTTGAAGATTTTATGTTTAAATTTATGATTAAATTTAAATTATTTTAACTTTTTAAATTCGGTGAGATAAAATTTTTGTTTTATGACTTGAATTGAGGATTTTTTAGAAACAACTTCTCTCCTATTTGATGTAAGAATAAGGTTTACATGTACTTTATCTTTCTCAAATTTCATTTTGCGGAATTTTTATTAGGTATGGTGGTGATGTGGTTTTTATGAGTTTTAATGCATATTCCTTGCGTTTTATTTCACATGTAATTATTCTTTTACTAGTATGTTTTGAATAGAATGATTCTTCCTTCATTTTAAAGTAAAATGATTTCTGATATTTTTTTGTAGATCCAAAATAAAATTTTCAAAGTTTAAAAATGTCTTAATTTTTTTTCTTTTAACTTACTTAAGGAATATATCATATCTTAATTTTCTTTTATTAAATTTAAATGTAAAGATATTTTTATTTAGATGTCATATTTTATTTTTAATAATTATTTCCTTAGTTTACTTTTACGTGTCACATTTGAATTTGACACATCCATTAAGATCACAATGATTAATATAACTATTTTATCACACTATTCCTATTAATTGATGTTTAGTAGGCATTTGGACATGCAATGTGGAATCACGATATGAAATTAACATTTGGAGATAGCATTTTATGTTGATTCCATCTCATGATTTCATATCATGTGATGAAATTCCAAATTCTCCAAAAAAACAAGATTTAGAAATTTCAAATCATGATTTCGAATTTTTCAAATACAAAAATTGACTCACAAGTTTATATTTTGTAGAAAAAACCCACATATATTTCTACTAGCCATTTATTTCATATGTAAATAAAATTTATAATTACGTCAAATCAATTTCTACTTTACGGTTTATATTCACTAAATTCATTATTTTTTATCAAATATATTTACCAACCAAATTGACCAACACATGGCAGAAAGAAACAATGTTGGTTCATTTTCTCAGTCATGTGAATGAGAAATGCAAGTTCAACGTAAGAAAATTGTGCGTACTCTGTGGGAGAATTATATTAAAGACTAGTACACCACAACTTGATCAATAAATATTGTATTATTTAAGAATGTCTTTGCGATATATTGTGAATTTATAAACTTATGTTTATTTGATAAGATTGTATAAAAAATTGAGACAATTTTAATAATTTTACAACTTAGGATTTTGTTATGTTAATGAGAAAACAATACAACATAAAAAGTTCAAATCGCATGTCCACACAAAACTTCAACTTC